TTACGCTACTGCAGAGGGATCAGATCTAGAGGCTGAGAAGGCCAGACTTCCCATGGTATCATTTAAGCTTTGCATGAATCTAGTTACACCTTTGACCTTCTCAGGGGTCAACACATTCCCTCTGTGCTTATGCTGGTTTGAGTGGACTTTCTGTCACCAGCCATCACAGCCCTTGCTAGTGCAAACATGATTATACACCAAGACACAGAGGGACACAGGTCCCACAAGAGCATTCTGTTGGGCCCCGAGGAGGCGAGGGTCTTTTCTAGCTTGGAGAAGAGAAGAGGAGCCCCGAGGCTTTCTAGAGGAGATGGGGTTCAGCAGGGATTTAAAATAAAGGAAGGCTTGCTGTGGGAGGGGGCAGGGAGAAAGGGAGCAAAGAGATGGGATTCCCAGGGAGGTCTGGGGCTTATCGCCTGATCACACGAAATTCCTGGGCCAAGAATACATGAAGATGAGGGAAAGCGCTGAAATAACTCACGGGCCAGACCCTGCCCGTCTGCCCAGGTAAGCCATTCGGGAGGTCAGCAAGTGCCCTACCCATGGCAGTCTCAAAGCCCCTGGCTTTGGTTTTGTGAAGTTTACTCTCATAATGACTTTGGGCAGGATCAGGGTGACCAGGGTGGCTCCTTGACGGTGAAAGAAAAGAAGGCACATTAGCCCTGGCTGGTGTGGTTCAATGGTTGGAGCATGGGCCTGTGCCCTGAAGGGTCATGGATTCAATTCCTGATCAAGGGCAAGTACTTGGGTTGCAAGTTTGATCCCAGACCAGGTTGGGGCACCTTCAGGAGGCAACCAATTGATCTCTCTCTCTCTCTCTCTGCCCCTCTCCCTTTCTGTTTCTTCCTCTCCCTCCCTCCCTTCCACTTTCTCTAAAAATCAATGGAAAAAATAACCTCAAGTAAAGATTAACAACAAAAAAAAAAAAAGAAAAGAAAAGAAAAGGAAAAAGAAAGCATATTACCTTCCATTGTTAATCATGGGTAGGGTTCCGTAGGAACATTCTTTCAGAGATTCTCCCACAGTATGAGTTTCACGCTTACATACTGGGGCTCTGGAAGGATCATAGCTGTGCTCACTGAGTGGCTGTTTCGCCAGACACTGTGTTAAAGCCTTTTACAGCAGCAGCAACAAACACAACCAGAGCAAACCGTCCCTGAGTGCGCACTACATCCCAGACACTGCACTGAGCTTACTGATGGCACCAGTACATTCCCGTCATCGTTGTTATTGAAAACAAAAATTATCAGAGAGCTTACTATGTGCCTAGCACTGTGCTAAGTGCTTCTCTTGCATCATCTCATTTAATTTTCACAGCAGCCCCGTGAGGCAGGGAGTATTATCGGGCCCATTTTACAGATGAGGAAACTGAGTCTTCGAGAGGTAAACGGACTCACCCAAAGTCACACAGCAATAGGGGAGCTGGGCCTACAACTTAAGAAATTTGGATTCTCAAACAGATGCTTGTTGCTACCTTGCTCTCAAGCCTTCCCTTAGTTTTTTTTTTTTTCATATGGATCTGTTTTTCACTTTTGTCTAAGGTTCTTTCTGCACCTTGTGCTCATCACTCTGGGAAAAAGGAACTAGATAAGGAAAGGGCCAGCACAGCAGTGTCACAGGCAGAGCAGCCCTGTCCTGTCTCAGTGAAGTCTCTGTTGCTTCCCCTGCCATAAGGTTCTCTCCTCTTGGGCTTCCTTGTCTTTGCGCCCTCCAGCATCTTGCCCGAGAATCTCCCATGGAGCCCGGTGTATGGGAAGCACTCAGATGATTTTGGTCAAACTGAGCTGCCCTGAATTAAAACTGTTCCTCACCCAAGTTCTCAAGAGAAAGTATGGCCTCCAAACCAACAGGGAAATCCCTCATGAAGGGCTGGTGGCTGATTCCGAGGCTTCCTGTCTTTCTGTGGTTGGGGAATATCAGGTGTCCTGGACTTCTGGTTTTGTTTTTCCTTTTTCATTCATGGGCATTCAGAAATACTATGTGAAAGAAAGCGCGCACTCTCCTATTTCAGCGTGGAGGGTTCTGGGTGGGGTTTAGGCAAACCAGTCTGAATAAACACGCGGAAGGAGCCCCTCCGACCCTGACCCTCCGCAGCTGGTCTCTGGATCTGCCTGCTCAGAACCCCGCTAAAGCACTGTCAGCCACTGCCGGCCTGGGTGCCAGGCAGATGGCCGCAGGAGTGCCCGCGGCCCCGGAGAAACCCCACGTGTCCAAATAGACCTGTGCTGAGCGTGACGTTTGCTTGCTTTGTGGTTGTCCAGGCTTCCTACGTTCTTGTGTCTGCGTTTGTTGTAGCTGGAAGCCCAGCATTGACCTTCAAAACTGCTACAGGTAGAAACCAAGTCAAATAACTCTTAAGGGACAACTCAGGTGTCTTTCCTTCATGAAACCCATCTGGCCTTCATGAAACCGACTTCCTGTGATTCCTCTAAAACCCTGTTTCCAGCACTTACTAGTATGTTGTCTGTCGTGCTGGGAGGCTACTTCTCACGATAGTTCCTCTCGGTACAATGATCCTATGCTGTTAACATCTTGATGGTGAAGACAGTGGGCTTTGGGCTTCCTCAGGCTCGAGTTTAGGCCCAATCTGCCACTTCCAAACTGAGCAACCTTAAACGAACCATGTGGCCTTTCACACACTTAATTTCCTTTTCTGTGACAGGTGACTGATGACACCTATGAGGTCACTGTGGTGATTATGTGAGATGGTGCATGTGCAATACTTAGAGTTCAGTTAAGTGCTCAACAGGTCATTTTTGTTGTGATGTGATGATGATGACGTCGACAATGATAATGACAATGATCGCGACATCTGCTACTGGTTAAATAGCTCATTGCACTCAGGACATTTTAGGCCAACAATACTTCCTTAGTCCATATTTGACGATTCACTAATACTAATTCAGAGTGGGAAACGGATCTCCAACCAATGCTGGCTGCTGGATGAGGAGGGACTGGGGAGGAACGGAGAGGGGACCGATAGGCATCCTTGCCACCGGAAGAGTCCCTGGGACGGATGCTGTTGGTTGCCTACCTGATATCCATTTCCCTCTTCTTTCTTGCTGATAAAATTCTGGCTTTGTTTTCGGTGGCAACATGCCCAACTACATACTCATGTCATAAGATCTTAAAGCTGGGAATGATAACATCACATGGTTCTGGCTGAGGAGGTTTAAGTGAGATTCTGCTGGGTTTCTGGGAAAGTTTGCACCTCTGCGTAGAGGGGACAAAGGTAGCTGGGACAGTTATTTTACTCGTTTTCTCACCTTTTGTAAAAATTAAATTTATTGGGGTGACTTTGGTTCACAAAACCTTTCAGGTTTCAAGTGGACAACTCAACACAACATCATCTGCATATGAATGAAATGCTTATTTTAGGACAGATGCATCATAGTGCTTGGTACTTCGTGGGCACTAAGGTAAGTATTTCAAATCTGGCATGAAAGCATAAATGGTAAGTCACATGCCCCTCTCCACAGCGCCACCAAGTGGCTTATCATCTTCCTTCCCCATCATAGATTTATTTCAGATACTTCCTTATCTCGTCCTACAAATGGGAATGGTAATAATTCCCACCTTATGGGGTGCTGTAAATATTAAGTGAGATGCTACATATAAAGAGCTGCTATGTGCTAGGCACTGTGTTAAGCGGCTTTCTTGTCTTGTCTTGGTGAGATTAACACAGGGACAAACAGCTGGGAGGTTTGGGTCAAATCCATTCTGCATCCTGGATTTCAGTTCTCCCCGCTGTAGAGTGTGGATTTAAGACGGAATCAGTATTTCCTAAACTTCCTGTCACATACAATCTTCTTGACAATCACCTGTATTCTTGCTACTATTTTTTTTAACCTAATATCTTTCTTTAATATGAGTCACTTTTTAAAGCCTTATTTTAAGCAATAATATCCATGGAATCATAGCTATACAGGGCGGGGCAAAAGTAGGTTTCTAGCTGTTCATATGGAAAATAAGACAATAATTAAGAACGAATAACACAAGAATAAACTCTGTGTTTCGAGTACTCACAGCTGTAAACCTACATTTTTGCCACCCTGTATGTCAGTGCTTCTCAACTGGGGGTGATTTTTGAGCCCCAGAGAACGTTTGGAAATGTCTGGAGATGTTTTAGTTGTCTCATTTGGGTAGTGATGGTGCTGGCATCTGGTGGGTGGAGGCCAGGGGTGCTGCTATCCATCCCACAATGCATAGGACAGCTGACAACAGCCCACAAGGTCCCTAGTGCTGAAGCTGAGAAACCCCCATACATATGCGTGTACACGCTCATGCATTTGAATACACTTGAAAACAAATATGTAACCCTCCCCCCTAACAAAAGATCATCCAACTACCATCTACATCGCCCTGCATAGCCTCAGGGACAGAGTACATAGTGCAGGGAGTTCCCTAATGAGCTGATTTCAAAAAGTCCCTTCTTCTCTAAAACCCAGTGAAGTCAAATTGGATTCAACATATTGTTTCTCTTATTACTTGGAGCAAAGAAAGGAATTTCTTCAGAAACAGAACATCATCTTTGGGAAGAAAACCATCCTCATGTCCACATAGTGATACAGCCACGGCATTCAGCTATACAAACGGTCTGAATTTCCGGAGACCTTAAAGCAAAGGACCTTGAAATGCAAGCATCTCTTGGAGCCATATGATGACCCCCACAGTCTCGGCGCTCCAAGTATGTGCTAATCACAGGAGCCTCATCTTCCTGGTAGCGCAGTGGACGGCCACCATTCCCCTGCCCTGACCTGGGAAGCATGCTGTCCACAAGCACGGCAGTCCCATAGCAGAGCCAGGGTTAGGATTGTGATTTCCCTTCTGTTTCCGAAAATGGCAGTGTAACCCCAGTAAGCTCATTGACCACCCTCAGCCTTCAACAGGAATTGGGAATAAATAATTTGCAATTGATCGCAATGGATGCAGAGTCCCAGGGCCACATTTGAAAACTCTCCTCAGGGAGTTCCTCCACCAAGCGTTTCTTAAATTGGACCCACTTACACATCAAGGTGAGAAGCCATGATGGAGAAGATTGGAGGTAGAGCTGGAGAGGTGACCTAGAACCCTGCCTTGTTTTCTACCTGAGCTATAATAGCAACACCTGATGGCTGTGTGCACACAGGTCAGACTCCACGCTCAGCACAATCGCGAGAGGTGGTTAGAGAAGGAGCTGTATCCCCATTAACCAATGCGAAGACTGAGTTTGGGGAACCACCACAATGCCAGCTCTGTAACTCCATTTCCTCAATTCCTAATTTGCACGACTCTGGGACAGCCTGACAGACTTGCCTCCTCCATAGGATGCAGCCGACCCTTCCCCTCCTGGAATTGGGGCAGGGGAATAATCTAGAGCAGCGGTTCTCAATCTGTGGGTCGCGACCCCTTTGGGGGTCGAACGACCCTTTCACGGGGGTCGCCTAAGACCATCGGAAAACACATATATAATTACATATTGTTTTTGTGATTAATTACTATGCTTTAATTATGTTCAATTTGTAACGAAATTGGGGGTCACCACAACATGAGGAACTGTATTAAAGGGTCGCGGCATTAGGAAGGTTGAGAACCACTGATCTAGATGGACTCACTTGAAAGTAGAGACACGAGTGGGTACAGTTACACCAGGCCATCCTCAGCAGAGTTTAACCCCTTTGATGATTTAAGTAAGTTAACGGGTTCCCTGGAAGGTCACATCATCTCAGACCCACATACATTCTTATGTGCATTGTCACTGGCGACTGCCCCTTCCTTGTCGAGGTCCTTAGTAGAAGCGATTTTTTGGACACCAATGTTGGGTCAGGTCTCTAGACCTCCCATCCCCCTTATAATATGGCTAGAATTCCTGGGAGTCACGATGAAGCTAGGATTCACCAGAGAAGAGCACGGAGAGGAAGCAGCATTCCCAGGGGGCGACCCTCCACCCCAGTTGATAGAGCTGTTCAATGCAGACGCTCAAAAGAAACAACCGTCCTTCAGACTTAGCTCTCCGTACTCTCTATTTTGGATTCAGAAACCTGTATCACTGTGAGCCCCTTAGCGTCACACCCACCCACTGCTGGCTAGTTGCTTTCTCTCAAGTGGAAGAGGGGAAAGCTAGATGAAATTCTTTCTCCAGGCGCACCTCCTTGCACAAGCTGAAGATGAACTCGCTCACTTCCTTCTACCGATTCTGCTGTTCAAGTAGGCAGGGGAGGGTGGAGGGAGTGGGGACCTGGCATGCAACCCTGAAGGGTAGGGGAAGCTGAAATCACACACCTCGCGTCTCTCCACCAAGGTTTGATTCTCTTTATGACTACGATCTGCCAATCCGTAATCAAGGGTTAATTTCACAGCTCACTGCTTCATCTAGCATAATATCCATTCAGACTAATTAAATCTGTCTAATAATGTGAGTGTCTTTGTCTTTGTTCTTCCCCTTCTTTGTTTTACACCCTTCACATCTCATCTCCAGAACCACACGCCATCACACTCTCCTTGACAAGCAGAATCCATCCCTAAAATTAAAACATTCCTGACCTATCTGCAATGACAAGGCAGGCGAGCTGCACGGCGCTCCGGCCCATGAAGGGAGCTGACACATTTGTTTTTAATTTCAAAAGAGTAGAAAGTGAAGATCTGACCCCGTCAATCAAGCCCCGTGACAAGTTTAATCATTGGTGCCCCACAAAAATCACGGCTAAATAGGAATGCAAATACTGTATCACAGGGCTCTTATAAATGCTAATCAAGGAGAAGTAATCAACTGACAATTTCACTGATCTCTTTTCTGAAGAAGTCACTCAATGCTGGGTCTCTGGGCCACAAAGAGAAGAGAGAGAGACAAAAGGATGGATGCAGTTTCCCCCCAACCTTCCTATTATTTTTCCTTCCAGGACATTTCTTTTTCAAGAAAGAATTTGCTCTTTGATCCATCGTTGAACTTTAAAGCAAAGAACTTACGCAGTTATATGTCAAATGCACTTTATTATCAGTGCCCGGCCAGGCAGACAACCCACCGAAACTTCCGCTAAAATAAAAATCATCATTTGTCTTTGTCATTAATCTGTTCTCAAATTCTCTTATATCTTAAAAGTGACTGACCTTCTCCGTGAGACGGGGAGGGGGAAAAAGTTTTAGAAGTAGTTGGAAATCTGAAAATTGTGATCATGGTAAAAAAAAAAGAGAGAGAGAGAGAAATCCCTTTAAAAAACTTAATCCAGGGCTGATGGAGAATTTATAAGCAATCACCAAGAAGCTCTGAGCCAAGTGGCTCTGCCCTCAGCATGGACACTTGACTGTGCTTAGAGAGGGAAGATGGAAATTGGAGGCATATTTTCCACAGGGGCCCTGAGAGCTTTGTGTTTTGCAAAACTTAGAACTTGAGAGGTTTTTTTCTTTCTTTTCTATTTTTCAACCAGGAAGTCCTGAAGAAATCCAATCCATTGATTACTTCTACTTTAAACACCTATTTCATGGAACCGTAGCAGGAGAAGAAATGTTACTCCATGTTTGCCCTTCCCTTACGACAGAACGTTCCAGAAGTTCAGGGATTGGCAGATTACTCCTGTGGAGCTGACCAAACCAAGTTCCAAATAACCAAGGTGGTCGCCTTCATCATAAGGACAGAAAAGTGGGATTTGGGAGTTTTGTGTGGAGATGGTAGTTTCCCATTTTTGTCACATTCCCTGTAAGAGGTGGATGGACCAGATGCTGCCTGCTGCCTGTTCATGAGCTAAGAATGCCCTTTAGATTGTATTTGTTTGTTTGTTTATTTATTTAATGTTTTACTAATTCCAGAGAGAGAGGAAGGGAGCGGGGGAAAGAGAGAGGAAGAGAGAGACAGACACAGAGAAAAATCAATGTAAGGGAAACATCGATAGGCTGCCTCCTGCACACCCCCTACTGGGGACCGAACCTGAAACCTGGAAATGTACCCTGACTGGGAATGAAACTGGTGACCTTTTAGTGCAGCGGTTCTCAACCTGTAGATCGAGACCCCTTTGGGGGTTGAACGACCCTTTCACATCCTTTGGGGGTCGCGACTCCTTTGGGGATTGAGCAACCCTTTCACAGGGGTGGTCTAAGACCATCGGAAAACACATATATAATTACATATTGTTTTTGTGATTAATCACTATGCTTTAATTATGTTCAATTTGTAACAATGAAAATACATCCTGCATATCAGATATTTACATTACGATTCATAACAGTAGCAAAATTACAGTTATGAAGTAGCAACGAAAATAATTTTATGGTTGGGGGTCATCACAACATGAGGAACTGTATTAAAGGGTCGCGGCATTAGGAAGGTTGAGAACCACTGTTTTAGTGCATGGGACGATGCTCCAACCAACTGAGCCACACCTGCCAGGGCAGTTTTTACATTTTCAAATGGTTGAGAAAAAAATGAAGAGGAGACTGTTTTGTGATGTGATCATTACATGAAATTTTCAAATTCCAGAATGCTAGCGTCAGTGACCACAGGAAGTTGTGCTGGAACACAGTTGGGCCTGTTTCCTTGCGTGTCTTTCTGGCTGGGTTCACGATGCAGTGGCCGAAGTCAGCTGTGGCAACGGAGGTTGTATGATGGAACAATCTGAAATATTCACTGTCTGGCTCTTTATAGGAA